CTGAGGTCGCTCTGCTACGCAGCGATCTTTAGCTCAGGAGAGCGAATCTACGTATAATCACAAACTCCGTGTCTGTTTTCCTCTGGTTCCTCCACTTAGACAAGGACGACATGGTCTGCGGCCTTGAGTGAAGAGCTTTCAAAACCCTGTTTGAACAGTTCAAGGCTACAGAAACAGTCAGAAACAAAAAGAGCATCGTCTGCCGTGACGGGTGAGTGGCTCCGGCGGCGGCAGCTGCGAAAAGGCTAATGGTACAAGGCCGCAGTGCAGCACTGGAGTGGTCTGCACTCAGGTTCCTTGTAAACCACACAGACAAACAGATACAAGGTTAATGTGAGCAGGCTGAATAAAAAGGCCTGGTCTCTGTTAACAACAAGCTATCCTTGAGTGTTCTTTAGACAAATCAAGGATTTTCTCCGCCTCTTCATCAGCTGCTATCTATCTTTAGGAGTGGCAGTGGGTCAGCTGCCTCCAACATACTTCATTTCTTGCCTAATTACATCTATTTCTCCATTTGCAGGTCCTTCTACATTTCCTCCAGCTCTGCCTCCCTTCCTGTCCGACAGTCACTTAATATGAACTCCTGTTCATTCAGATCCAGTCCACATCTTTTTTGTTTTTCTGAAACCGTTGGCTGTTGCAATTAATTTTCCCCTGACATACTTGACAACTCAATATCCATTTTCTGGAATAGAAAAAAGAGGAAGAATTTACACCGCCCGGTGGGGAAGATAAAAAAAATATAATAATAAAAGTTTCCTTTTCTATTTGTACGCCATTCATCTGCTTAGATGTGTTACTGTTCCACTGATTCCAGTATGTGTGATTATAAATGTGTCAGTGTTTCATTATCACTCTCCCACTGGTTTCTATCATGAAGGAATCTCCTGCAGTTTCCTTTGTCTTCGTCTCCAGAGACGGAGCCAGAGCAGAGGTCGTCCCTCTCACTCGCTGCATCCAAACTGCATCAGAGTCTTGGTGCTGGTTTGAAAGCACAGTCAACTGAGACACAAACCTACCCTGTGACAAAAGCCCTTCAGGCCTCTGAGAAAGCAGCTGTGATGTGTGTGTGCCTGCCAGCCTCTAATGAAGACTGCCTCTCTGGGCTCCAGTGCTCAATAAACACAGACTAGGATAAGCGATGAAGTGGGAGCACAGCAGGACACCAAATCTATCTAACATTTTTTTTTCTCCTCTGTTGTCATTGAATGAGAAATAAAGTCCATTTCCAGGGCAGTGACTTTTCAAATCACTGCCACGGACAATTTCACTGATCCTGATTCCGATCAAAATATGATTTTCTGCATCCCCGAACTCACGTTCAGAAAAATACCATGGCAAACCGGCTGATAAATGGCCAATCGATTTCCACGGTGAGTTCAGAAGAGTACGGAGCTAAATGAAATGATTCCCCTCCTGGATCAATACCCTTCCATAGACATTTAGCAGCCAGGCCCGGCCAGAGGAGCCAGCTTCACAAAGGCTTCCTTCGACACTAGACAAAGCAGGTGGAACAGACACCGCACGAGGAGGAAAAATGAAAGATATCGGCTGAAGCAGAGAGTGTTTGGAAATGTCACCCGTCTTCTAGGTCTCTCCATAAAGTAAATGAGGAGAGCGTGCACTGCCTCAGTGGAACACAGCAACTCCAAATGTTAACAAGAGCTGGAAATAGCCTGAGAACAAGAGGCTGAGCTCACAGGAGCACTACAGAGCTGGCAGCACACACACACACACACCTCGGATTTTATTATTCTAAAGGTTTAGGCTTAGTTTTTTTAAAAGACAGATGTAGATATTTTAGTTCCATCTACATTAATACACCAGGTCTGCGTCTATAACTTTAAGAACTTATCAAAACTATAATTTAAATTTAATTTGGCTTATTATATACTATGAGCCACGGGGCAATTCTAGCCCACGGGCCACTGATTGCAACCACAAAATGAAGAAACTTGAACAAGCAAACTAACTTAAAAAAAACTCCAGAGGACAGCGGTGTAAATTCAGTCGAAGAAGAGACTCAGAGTAGAACAAACCAGAGTTGGCCGACAGAAAAAAACAGCATCACAGAAAAAATAAAAAAACAGCCAGAGTTTGAGAGGTCAGCTGCTCAGGTGTGGTGACTGTCAATGATCCGATCTGTGTTACTGTTTAAAGCCATGAATGTGTAGGAAGACAGGTAATCTCACCCGGTTGGGGTCGTTCTCTAGAATTCGGCGTCGAGCAGCATCCAAGTCCTCGTAGACAGGAGCGGCTCGGGTCTGCTGGTACTCACGACGCTCACTCTGGATCTGTTGATCGCTGCAGAGACACAGGAAGTCAAATGTGTAAATCAGGGTTATGCAGGGAAACTGTATCATGTATGTTGTCTTCTGACCCAAGATCATGTGAGATGAAGAGGGTTGAAGATAAAACAATCTTTACTTTCATGGCTTCAACCATGAATAAATTCACCGAAACACACTGTTGGGTTCTGCAGTACCAGCCGTTGACCACACAGTGAGACAGACGAGCAGACAGATTATTTCCACACAGTGTTGTCTTTGAGGAGACGTGGGTGTCCGGTAAGAAAAGAAGAGGACAGGAATGGTGGAGATACATTTTTCAGAAAAGCACCTGTAAGAGTCAGGAAAAAAAGTGTGTTATCCTGGACTGAGCCACGGACACGTCAGCCTGCACGGCAGCCTGATGAATGCAACCAAAGAGGTGAAAATGAGGAATGCACCGCCACAAAAGGAGGAGGAAATCAACCGCTGGAGGACAGATAAGGACTGGGAACAGAACAAAACTCCTGGACTTCACCGTGCTCACTGGACCTGAAGGGGAGATAAGCGACACACCTGAGAGAACTGTCCTAGACAGACCTAAACACCAGTGAGGACACTCACTGGGATACACACACACACACACACACACACACACACAAAGCCACAGAAAATTGTGCGCCTGAGTGTTGTTCTTTATCAGTGTTTACTGCTTTCAGCTAAAACACAAATCTAAACCCCTCCACATCATGTTTGTTTGCTTATCAGGAGGTTTATCTTGCCGAAGCGTTCACTGGGGACAATATGAGACGTATAGAGACGAAAACATTACACTATGGACTGGGCTAATACAGGGTGTTATGAACGGAGCACGCAAGCATGAGTTTCTGACAGAACGTCAACAGAGTTTGCTATAAATGAGCGAGCAGGTCCCACTGCGGCTCCGCTCCGATGCCACTCAGACATAAGTGTCAGACATAAAGCCCACTTTTATTTTAAAAATAGGCTGCTGTAGGATTACAGATTGAACTCATGAAGTAACTTAAAACACAAAACCCTTGCGTTAAAATCAGTGATCAATCATGATTTAAACCAATCTGTGGCCACAGTGTAGACGACAGGTGATTTAAAAAGGCTGTGAGTGGAGGTGGAGCAACGTTATAGCAGCGATGAGTTGAACACTAAAGGTCAACTGATGCTGATTGGTGACTGAATAAATCCCACTCTATTTACAGACAGTTGCATACTTCTTTTGCCTTCTTCGTCTTTAATGTCAACATAACTTCCATTAAAAATAACAAATGTCATTTAAATGATTAAATTAATTAATTTAACTTACTCAGTTGGAAACACCAATTCAGCCAAAAACCAAAAACACACACTGAGTAATATAAATGTAATTGTTTCTGATTCATCCAGACACATCAACGTTCCTATATAATAACACAAATGTCAATTGGTGGAACAGAAAGAGAACCAGTTAGACAGATTTTCAAAGTTCCTGTTTCCTTCAACTGAAAGAATATGATGTCAACTGTAGACTATGGTTAACAAAAAAGACTGAACTCCATCAGCAGAGGGTGTGTATGTAAATTCAGCAGTGGAAATACGTCAATACTTGCTGCTGCGACCACACTTGTACCACACCTGCATTGTCTCTTTAATACAGCAGTTGTTTCACTGCAGCCAAGTGGGAACAGAACAGAGAGACTGGGTTAAACACTTTGTGTTCCACTGTGCCGCTGTGGAAAGTGTTGTTTTAAATTCTGCACAGGCTCCTCTTAGTGCAGAGCTGCAGTACACGCCCAGAACAGCACAGGATTCAAGTCTGACCCTGTGTTAAGATTAAATATACAGTATATAATATATACAGTTGTATATTGCAATATATAAATTGTTGTGCCTAATTGATTTAATGCAACTGCTTGTCTTTTAAAAGTTGAATTTCCGTGGCGTCAGACTCTGCTAATTGTTGCCTCTCCAGTCTAATAGGAGGTTTGATCACTCAGTAAATCAATAGCAATCTCTGCCTCCTGCAGACAATCTTACTGTCAAGATAATTACATCTAATCTGTATCATTTATTTATTCCTCTATTAGCACACACACACTCACACTCACACACGTGCGTTCTTTTAGAATAAATGCACACTTTTGCAGAGTTCTTCTATGCCACCCTTCATCTACGGAACCCATTAGCCAATCCCTGGGCCCGTAATTAGGGCTGCCATTTTGATTAAGCACGTGCGTCGCTCTCCAAACGAAACAACGCTGTAATTATCCCATTATGCCACAGCCTCCATCCTTGACAATGACAAATATTATCATAATAATGGATGATGAAGGCAAAGGCTAAATCTGGATTTTAAAAAAAAACAGAGGGAGGGAAGTGCGTACTTGAGATTAGAGAAGTAGCAGCTCTTAAAAAAAAAAGTTTTCTGTCTAGGTAGTCACAGGCATCCCGGTTCATCATTCATAGTGATGTGAAGTTTCAATCTCAATAGAGTGGGCTGAGTTCTCCTCGTGTCCCTGAGTGTGTTTGCGGTGTGTTAGTGTGTAGACAGAGACGGATTGGCTCTACTGTTGTTGTCGTCGGCAGGTAATAACTGCTGTCCCTCGGCCTGAGGCAGCCGGCAACAGTACAACACATTCTCCAGTGCAGGGATCAATAAGTATCTGAGTAGAGCAGATTGCTTTAACATCACCATCCAAATGAGCTCAACGGCAGAGAAAGAAGCAAAGTCACCTGGGAGTTCCCAGGAAAATAAACTTTTTAAACTAGTTTTGCATGAAGTATTAAGTCCTTTAATGTTAATCAGTGACGACTTTTATGACAGATCAACCATCCATCCATCCATCCATCCCATTGTACAGTAAACACTGAAGAGGGATTTTAATGGTCTTTCTTGGACCGGATTTTATAGTTTACAGTATAAACTCAATAAACTTCCATGCTCCCCGTCATCATCCAATGAACTTCCTGCTTGACCTTTTCTGTCAATCTGTTCATTGCGATTGCAAACAAGAAGGGGCTCAGAACTGACTGCCATTCTGAACCCATCTGTCACTCTGACTGAACACATCACCACACTTTTGATTTCTCCTACACATCCTGCACCACCTTCATGTACTTCTCTGCCACCCTCGCACAATGGTGTCTAACCCTAATCTCACTTCCAACATCCTAATCCAGTGTCAATCGGAGATGACCACAGGTACTGCTGCCAACCACAGACTGAGACGAACACTAAGGACCCAGGAACACACCATCACCTGTGTACATTGATTTAGGTTCACTGATTAACTATAAGGTTAATGGGACTGAGGACTGCACACATGACTTCTCTATTCAGAAGAGTAAACAAATCCATAAATCTCTACAGGCGTCTCTCTCTCTTATTGGCCATAACTCAATCAAGTAATGTTCCTGTTTCATCAACATTTCAGAGCATCTGCCTGTGTATGTTGACGTGACAGCACGCTGACAGCAGGGAAGACAGCAGGAGGGTGAGACGGGAAATGAAAGAGAGTCGTAAGACGCAGAAAGAAACTTGGAAAACATTGACATCTAGTCTGAACAAAAAAAAACAGAGGGACTGAGGGAAACAGTGACTATCGTGTGGTGTTATACAGTGTGAGGGCAGACTAATTAGGACGTGAGCTCCGCTGCCGCAGGCTGCTTCAGCGCCCTTTGCCTCTCTGTGTGGAGCTGATGTAAACACAACACACAGGAGGGGGAAACAAAGCTCGGAGAGGCAGGTTTTACCTGACTTCATGCTGGAGGTAAGGATACATCAAAGTGTGTGGTCAATGTTTGGTGTCCTGGAGAAAAGGCTGGAATTTAAGTAGAGGATAAAGCAACAATAGAAGAAAAAGTTTTCTGTTTTATTATTTATTTTTTTGTCACATTTAAATTAGTCTGTTATTTCTCTTGTTTTGTTTACTCAAACCTGTAATAGAGAGTCAATTGTTTTCTAAAATATTCTGGGTTTTCTTAGTGGTGATTTGATTTCATCAAATGTAATTTTTTCAATATTTGTAAAATGCAAATTTGTTTTTTCAATTTGGAACTGTTGGTTTTTCTTTTGCAGAATTTTTTTAATGTAATTTATAAAGGATGTTATATTGTTTTTTTAATTAACTAATACCATAAAACGCAGTTTTTAAATCTACCATAGCAACCTCTACAGGAGAGAATGTTATTCTATTTCTACTTACAAAGAAAGAATACATGCATAGTTTAACGAGAAAGTTAGAGAATACAGATTTTGGTTTCCTTTAACTGTTTTGACAATAAAAGTACAAGCAACTGTGAAACAAATTGAAAAAGGGTGAAGTAAAGAGCATTTGTTTCTCCTCCTGAAACTTTGGTGTTATTGCTCCAGTGTGTTCATCCATTTGTCGTTTGTGTCTTTGTTCAGACTTATTTTCGCAACACAATGGTGCATATTTAAAGCCCTCCCCTCAGGAGCTTTTTCATCTTTCACCTTTGGTCACTTTTGTTCCTCCCCACTCCTCTTTCATCTATTCTGCCTCATTTCTTCCTGCAGCTACAGAGACTGCCTTCCAGCTAATAAAATGTGACAAGCATAGCTAACCTTTTTTTTCTCCACAGGTCAGCATCTAGCGTAGCTCTAATCAAATGTGACGCCCATCACGGCACACACCTGCCATAGAGGGCCTAATGAAAATGTCCGACAGCAAATTAGGGAGACAGAGCCAAGAGCCCACGACTGAGGGCATGGACTGGAAAGGTGGAGTGAGAACCAACACCAGTCTGTGGGCAAAGCTACGCAAACACACGCACCATTTCCTTTTCACAATATTTGGTTAGAGTTGCGCTGAAGACGAGGGATTTCAAAAGCACACATCATTATTCATAACACTCTGTGATAAACACGTTTCTTCCTCAGCTTCATTAAAACATGATGCACAAAAATCAACAGACTCATGGTCTCCCCCTGGGAGTAATTAAATAAAAAAAACTTGCAATTTGAGGCTGTAGGACACTTCAGTCTCGAGGCAAATTAAAGAGATATTTTTTCTTTAGCAATGCAATAATAACTGGGTTTGAAAGTAAAATATATAGGATCAATAAGGAACCAGAGTTTTAAAATATACATACCTACATATATATATCCACAGCATTTATATATATTATATATACTGTATATAATGAATGTAAAAGTGATGAAAAAAAGGTAATAAACAGAAGTACAATAAAGTACTTTTACAATATTAACCTTTTATTGCCTTTAAATCTGTCGCTTTCTTTCAACACTTTAGTAGGAAAATCGTTTTTCAGTGAAAATAGACCCAGTCGTGGGCAGCAATTAAAGTAAGGTAATTATGGCAGCTTCTTAAAAGAGAAGATAAAGTAAATGTTGGACCTGCTCACAGGAGGAGACGCATTTGTTTTTAGTGTCTATTAAATAAAAAATAAATAAAATAAAATTGAATGTTTGTGCCAAATTATCTCTGAAATGAAATACTGTAAAATACAGAGTTGATTCTGAGGGTGATTAAATCAACAGGAGAGCCATTCTGTACTTTAACATGAGTTTTTGTTCATGCTGCAGCCTCGTCTTCAGTCACAGGTGATTCCACAAAGTAACAGCTGTGAAATGACAGCGACGGTGTTTTAACAACTACAATTCAAACAACCACGCACTCGCTCCAAAATAACACCGACACACACACGCATTTTAAAGTTGGAATTCTGTTTTTTTTTTTTTCGTGCAGTTGAGTAAAACTATGTGGACCACACGCAGCATTGTTGCTAGGTTACAGACCTTCCGCACAGAAATATCACATGTGGGTGGCTGGGCGTGCACCGGTTTCTGACCACGTCTGTGTGAATAAAGGTTGCCGGTGTGTTTTCACAGCCGGACACTCGTTGAAGACTGGGTTAGGGTTAGGATGTGGGGAGTGAGTTGCTGGGACTGAAGACTAACCTGAGGGTTTCCATTGTTCCTGAAACTCCTCAAACACTGTGGTCCACTTTTTAAGACACTGTTCCAAAAGTGGACCACACTAAACATACACAGCCGTTTTCCAGTTTCCTGACTGGAGTTCTCATACCTTACATTATTGGTTTTATGTTTCCATCAATGGACACGGGATTTATACAAAAGACATCAGTAGGATCCTACATATGACCACGCAGTTTTGGGGAAATACATAGTGCATTGTAAAACACATGAGCAGTTGTGGCTTTTTCAACCAGCTAGTTTAACCAATCAGGGCCTTAGAAGACACGACACTGGGCAAGATCAAGTCAGTTGAGTCAATGGCTGAGCATCAATAGCGTTAATACGCCCCGCTGCCATGGAAACATGTGAGAGTAAAATCACAGCAGGGGATTGGGTCAAAGATAATTCCAACTACTACTAGTAATACAGTGGTTCCTGCTTTAGAAACTTCTATTCAGTATATCTGTTTAGAAATGTATTTAATGACCCTTGACATGACATGGTCAAATCTATGAGTTTGCTGGTACATTTCATACTATATATACTTTATTTTAAGACAACCATAGACACGTCAAGCTCTGGTGGGCCAGATACAATGACTTGCAGTGCAAATGTTGCCTTGAGTTTGACACATGGGCTTCAACTTAGCTGTAAGGACCCATACCACACAGCCCTGCAGTAGCGGTGTCCTAACACCGTCTTTGTGACGAAAAGAAAAACTTTCATTCAGAGTTAACAAGCCAAATAAGGCTCCTCATCCATCATGCTAATGCTAACGACGATCTAATACCCATTAGCAGCAGAGGAGGTGCGGAGTAGAAGAGGGAGGGAGTAGGGGAACAGATGAATGACAGTAAGAGACAGAGAGACGGAGGACAAAAGCAAGGAGGAGAAGAAGAAGGAGAAAACAGGCTGGTAATGAAGTACCCAGCACTAGTGGATGAGAGCTAAAGTGCTCTAACAGATCTGTCAGCCTGCTAGACTGTGGCTAATTATCCCTCCTCCTCTTTTGTCTGCATCTTCTCCTCTGTCACTGCTCCTCTGTTGAATTTACTTTGCCTTCTTCTTCTTCTTTTCCTTCTGTCCCTTTTTCCTATCTAACATTATTTTGTTCTTCTCTCTCTCTCTTTCTCTCTCCCCCTCTCTGGCTCCATCCATTTCATCCTTTCTCTTCCCTCCATCTCCTTTATCCTCCGTCTGTCACTGCTCCCCAATCCCATCTGTGTCTTCTCCCTGTCCAAACTCCCCTCCTCTCCCTCGCTCGTTTTTCCTCGCTTTTCATTTCTGCCTGAGATTAAGTGTCTGGGGTTTAGTTTTCTTGATTTGCAAGTCAATAGCAATTTCTGTCAAGAGTTGGAGCTGAGGGAAGTTTTAATGTGGCCTCAATTACTTCACACAGAGAAATAATGAAATTTGGATCTTCAGTCCATTTCAGTCCAATGTGACGAAATGAATCACATTATCGGCCGGCGTTGACGTGAATCATCACAAAGTTGGATCCGCGTCACGTTTAAGGACAAAGTGTGAGAGTGATGAAGACTAATGAGTGACTCTGTAAGATGATTTAAAAAAAATAGTCCATATTTCTGATGCTAATATATATCATTGATATTTCAACCTGCACTGTACTGTACTGTACTGTACTGTACACGTACTGTACTGTACTGTACTGTACACGTACTGTACTGTACTGTACTGTACTGTACTGTACTGTATACGTACTTCACACTAACTGTAAATTAAAGAGGTAGAATAGAGCATTATGGTAAATGTTTGTTCAGTTAAAATTGCTACATTTCAACTAGGATGTACACACTGGCCATTAAAACTTCATTATACAGTACAGATACTTTTGCATACACAGTACACAGTAACCATCTGTGACTAAGCAGGTAAAAACTATATTTCTTTGTTTTCAGTGAGAACTTGAAAAAAAAACTTCCTGTCCGGTCTTTGTGTGTGTGTATTGTCTGTGGATTCTTCATTTGTTTCTCAACTTAAGCCCAATTCCGAGACTAACGCTGGTGTCCTTAGAACCTGTAGTCCTTACAGAGACCCAAACCTGCTCCTTTTGATGCT